ATCTGGTCTACAGCTCAATATCTACCCTGATAGCTCTTTGGAAAACGTTTACGTTGCCGAAACTGGAATCACTAGAAAATTAACAGCACAATACCAGGTAAAAAAAATTAAATTAATAATCTGAAAATCTTAACTAAAAATTTTTTCATCGATTTTTAGGAGGGTCTTCTAGATATTGAATTGGAGTTCTCAGATGGTCAAAAAACTCCTCTTAGAGATATTTCAGACACTGACTATCATCTTGTTGTGGAAAGCTTAGATCCCGAAGTAGTGGCTTTTGCGCCTATGGTTGCTTCACATCATCCCAGAGTAATAGCTGTTGGTGAAGGTAGCGGAGATCTTTTACAGGTAAAATTTTGCTTAAATTTACTACAATATAATATATACAATAAAAAGTAAATTGAAATTTATTCATTATGACGATCTGCTACGTGTAATACAATTTTTTAAATTTGTTACGCCAATTAAAAAAAATAAACGACCATGTTATTTTGGTTGTATTGGCAGGTAACACTTCTATTAGCTGAGGAATGCAGAAGTAGTGGTAGACCTAAAGTAAAACCGATTGGACCGTTGGCTTCAGCAGCTGCTACTATCAACGTTGACTTTAGTACCATCGATATTCATAGACCCGATATACTACAAAACGATGGTGGTAGCTACGGTTCTTCAAAAGGAAGGGAATTTTCGGATCTTCAGGATATACTAAAAGGTAACTATGTATGTTAGTTACAGAAGCATGTACTTGAATTACTTTTTGAGTTATTCCCTTTATTTTATATATGATGTAAGATACTCGGTTTTATAGTCCTTTAATACGTTGGATGTGCGGTACTTTTATCTTTAATCTTTTATTTATGTCAAATTCTACTGTTATTATCTACATGTGTTCCTTCCATACTCGACTATTTAAGGCAGAAACTATAAATATTGATACCTTCTTGTCTTCTTGTCTCAGTTTTGTACAAGAATTAATATTACCATCGTGGAAAAACCAATGAATTCAATATCGATACATGCCATCTTTTTGTAGACTTCAAATCTGCCTATGATAGTGTCCTAAGAAATAAATTGTATGAAGCAAGGAATGAATTCCAAATCCCCGATAAACTGATAAGATTGGTTAAGGCTACAATGCGTAATGTGGTTTGCAAAGTCAAAATACAGGGCGAACAATCACAGACGTTTGGAACGCATGTTGGGCTGCGACAGGGAGACGCGCTGGCGTGTCTCCTTTTCAACATAGCACTGGAAAAGGCGATCAGAGATGCCCGAATAGACAACAGAGGAAATATTTTTAATAAATCATCCCAAATTTTGGCATATGCAGATGATGTGGACCTAGTTGCCCGCACAACACGCAAGCTAGAAGAAATATATACCACCTTCTCAAATGCCTCAAAATCTATGGGCCTGCAAGTAAATGAGGAGAAAACTAAGATGATGGCATCAACACCCAACAATAGAGCCAGGAACATCGGTCCCCAATTCACAATTGATAACTCTACCTTTGAAGTGGTTGACAAATTCACATACTTAGGCTCCCTGATCACCAAAGAGAACGCCATAATGGAAGAAATCAAGCGAAGGATAGTAATGGCAAACAGATGCTATTTTGGACTGAGTAGACATATGAGAAGTAGAAACTTAAGCCAAAAAACAAAAATAACTATATACAAAACCCTTATACAGCCAGTGTTGACATATGGATCAGAGACATGGACCATCTGCAAGGTAGACGAAGACCTTTTGCTTATATTTGAACGAAGGATCCTGAGAGGAATATTTGGTGGCATCTGTGAAAATGGTGTTTGGAGGAGGAGATACAACTACGAGGTATACCACAGATATAAACAAATATTTGGTGGTAAAGACGTAGTATTTCTTATAAGAATAGGAAGATTAAGATGGGCAGGACATCAAGCAAGATCACAGCAGAACAACCCTCCTAGAAGAATCCTTATGTCACAACCCGTGGGAAGCAGAAAAAGGGGTAGGCCAAAACTCAGATGGAAGGATGGTGTAGATGAGGATGGTAGAAAGATAGGCGCAGCAAACTGGCAACGGTCGGCAATGGATAGGACTGCCTGGCGTAATATACTTAGGAAGGTCGAGGCTCTTTCATAGGGCTGTAGCACCATTGATGATGATAAACTATGTATGTTAGTTACAGAAGCATGTACTTGAATTACTTTTTGAGTTATTCCCTTTATTTTATATATGATGTAAGATACTCGGTTTTATAGTCCTTTAATAGGTTGGATGTGCGGTACTTTTATCTTTAATCTTTTATTTATGTCAAATTCTACTGTTATCTATATGTGTTCCTTCCATACTCGACTATTTAAGGCAGAAACTATAAATATTGATACCTTCTTGTCTTCTTGTCTCAGTTTTGTACAAGAATTAATATTACCATCGTGGAAAAAACTTATTTATCAGTTTACATTTTTCCAATTACTGAATATCATGAGTTTTCCAATACTCCTAACAATTTTTTTCCTTTGGTATCTCCAGCTGCTCTAAGAGTTTTGCAAAATAAGTCGCCCGCTGAAATTTTTAATTTAGAAATAAAGTCCCTTTAAAACCATGATAGTGTAAGTAGTGGTGTAGGTCTTCCATAAATAAAATCACAATCAAACTGACAGGGTGGAATTAAAGAATAACGAACAAATCCGCCTCATCAGGACAGTAACGAACACAAAAATTAACAAACTGTTGGTGACAAGTTCATTATTTTTCTCTTAAAAACGAATCAATGCATGAAAAGACATGAAACAGAAAACAAAATGCAGAAAAAGAATAATTTTTAACAAAATTTAACAAAAAAAGAATTTGATTGGGAAATTATTCTACAGGGTGTTTGAAAATAACGGTTATACAACATTTTAATTAACCCTGTAGAGTGAAAGCATTTTACTAAAAACTATACTTGCAATTTAAAATTTAATTGCTAATTTATCATTTTATCATTAAAATGCATACATTTTAATTATTTGTTCTATTATGTAGTAATATGTTGTACTATATACTACTTTCAGGCAATCCTATTCATTCAGATAACGATGAACCCAGTGTACAGGCTCGCCAATTCCAAGGCAACGGCAAAGGTATTCTGCGACAACTATCTGCTCACCATTCAACTCCTTTAGAGATTAGTATGTACGTTCTTTTAGCTGTATTCTGCTGTGCTATCATGGTAAGTTTTGTAAAAAATTGTTTAACTATGATATAACCCTTCAAATTATTTATTAACAATTTCTAGATCAATCATTAATTAAATTATTTATAGTTTTATTGATCATCTGCCTAAATGCATAAATGTGTAAAACATAAATACATTTTTTGGCAGTTGTTTAATGACTGTGTTGTTATCGTTTTTGTTTTGAAAGTAGACCAAAGGAGAATTAAAAATAGACTCCAATGGGTCACAGTTAAAAAATTAAACTATATTAAAATGCTCAGTAAATTGATACAGTTCCAAAGTTTCACAAAGAAATTAAAAAAAACAGTGCAAAAATGATATCATTTAGAAATTTAGAAATGCAGGTTGCAAAGCATCTACTTGTCTTACTGAGATTGGTTCTAAACTATGTAGAATTCTGTTCGTGTATAATTCAAGGCTTTCAGGGCTGCCGTTTTTCTGTTAATGCATTGATTTTGCAATAATAAGGCAGATAATAAAGAAATAAAACAAGGAACAGATCAGAATTGATGAAAATCCGGGAACAATCCAAGACTCACAAAAAGTTGTCAAGCTAATAATAAAGACAATGGTTTTGGAACTTACAAATCTGATCTAGAATTATTTATAAAAATATTTTTATTTCATAAAAATTGAAAAAAATGTGCGTAACAATATTTAATACACCCATTAGAAGCAAAGAAAACCAATAACTAATTTTGTCCAACCAGCTTGTTCTGATCGAAACACTGATTAAAGGGTAAAACGTGATTCGATTAAATCATCTTATTCACAACTATCTCTTCGTTGAGTTAAAATACGTTATTAGGTTTGCTGCAAATAAATGAAACTCAGCAAACAAAACTGAGATGTCCTCTGTTGCCTAAAAGGCAAAAGATTTTCATTAACCGGAATTCTCTTGTCGGATGGCAGTGTAATTATACTATCTGCTTCAGTGTAAATATCTTGTCAACTATAATTTTTTTTAGGTTTTTGTTGTATCATGTGTTGTATACGCTTCCAAGTTCAAACCACTTAATCCAGCAATAACTGCAGGAGTGCAGGCATCCGCCGGTCCACCAGCCAACTTCCTTATCCACCACGAAACGCAAAAGCCCAAAGAATCTACAACAAACGCCCACGATTGGGTATGGCTTGGTAGAGCTACCATTGAGCCTCCTAATCAGTACACTAGCAATCCGTCAGACATGCGCATCATCACAAATCCATTGAATATGAATTATTGCGAACCGGACGATTCTCTAATGGCTAACAGCTTTAGTAATCCTACACATATAGAGCTCCCTGCTTCCTCTAGCCACGTCAATTCCAGTAGTAGACAGATAGACAGTAGAACGTATTCCAAAGGAAAGGGAGAGAAGATTAGTATTGGAACTGAAAGTGACTCAGATATACAAGTTTGGTATGTATAAAAATGATTGTAGTAAGATTTAAAAATTATTATCTGAGTTTCATTCTTTCGGTAAAATCAAGGGCAGTTTAAGCAAGTGCTTAAAGACAGTATTTGATTAATAAAAAATACTGCTATAAGAAATCAATGTACCACCAGTAATTTACTAAAAGTTTAAAGTATTTTTTACAAAAGTTGACTTGACTTTATTGAGTTTGACAATTATTTTTTCTATTCTACTATAATTTTTTAAAATTTACTGTAATTTTACGGTCACAATAATGTCACTCTCCAAGGTTGGGAACACTGCATGCGATCAAAGTCTACAGAAAACCAACCAACTTAAAGTTGCTTTCGTAAAGTCCTCGTAGACACACCGTCTCAGGACTAGCAACTTCACGTGGAGTCATATGTCGCCATGTTACCTAATCCAACGGTAACTTCAACATCTTAAGATTTTATAAGAAATAATGTAAACCAAATTTAACTAATTAATTGTTAACGGGTTTTTACCCATATATTTAGTGGCTACATTCATGTACACCTAGACATTGATGATGGAATATGGATTCCGAAAAGGTTTTGTCTAACATAGCCCGTTTGGTTTTTAAATATATACCTTTTACAAAGAATTTTAATCAATTTTTTTAATATATGGTATACAGCCAACTACAGGAACGTAGATTCCTTGTGGATTTTAATCATTTAATTCCTCTGTAATTTTCCGTGTCCGATTTGTCTCCCTTTTTTAAGAGAGTTATGAGGATGCTTGATTCCCATTCTTGAGGAATTATGTTTTGTTCTATTATTTTTGAATTAGTTTTAATAGTTGTTTCGTCAGATCTGGTATTCTGTCCTCTCCTGTTGATTTTCTATTTTTTAATTTCCTTATTGCTTCCTTTACCTCTTCCTCCTCAATATTTATTTCTTTGTTTGTCGTCACCTCTGGTGTTGATGGTTCATCATCGTCACCTTTAGCAAACAGGGATCAAATGTAGTCTACCCCTGTTTCCTTCTGAATGTTTTTCGTTTTTATTAGTTAGTTCATCTTTTTTCTTTGTCCTCTAATCATTCTCCATATTTCTTTTTGTGTTCCGTAGAAATCTTGTTCCATCTGTTTTGAGAAACTCTGCCAGTGTATCATCTAGCTATTGTGAAAAGGCTTTCTTCTTTTCTTTATATTTTGTCTTCACTTCCTCTCTAAACCATGGTGTTTTCTTTTTTGATACGTTAGTGTTCGTTACCTTCCTCTCTCTAAGTGATTCTGTCGCTCCGTTAATTATATTATTTTTCCCAACTTTCCTCGATGTTATCGTTTTCTAATATTTCATTTCCAGCGATCTTCTCTGATATTCGATTCCGTATTTAGTCCTTCGACTTTGATTTTTGTTTGTGTTGGCGCCGCTCTCTTTGGTGGGAAGTATTTCAGGATTATTCTTATTTCACATAATATTAGGCTATGGTCGCTACCTACATCTGCTGAGGTGAGGCATCTTACGTCGATTATTTTTGATGGATGTATATTTCTGTTGGTTATAATATAATCTATCATATATCTTTGTCCACGGGTGTTATTAAATGTGTATTTACCATTTTCTCCATTTTCGTTTTTAACATTCTCGTTATGTTTCTGTTTGATGCCGGGTATTACTTGGTTGCCTATATTAAATAAATGACTCAAAATTCAAAATTCACTTTGAAAAAACACAAATGAACGGCCAATGACAATAGACATTCTTCTTCTTCAAGTGCCATCTTCGTTCCGAAGGTTGGCGATCATCAGGGCTATACGTATTTTCGAAACTGCTGACCGAAACAATTCGTTGTTGCTACAACTATACCATTCCCGTAGATTCTTTAGCCAGGAGTTTCGTCTTCTTCCTATGGACCTTTTTCCTGCTATTATACATATAGACATATAAAATATAAATACACTGACTGTTGCAATGCAGGCCCGTTCCTCCAGTGCAATAGAGAAAACTGACTTCTTTGCGTCGCATTGGGGGAATGTGCCTGTATTGCAACAGTCACTCTATTTGTATTATATGTCTGTGCCAATGACATATATAACCACAACGATCATTTGATATGTGTCAACTTTATAACAAAACCATGAACGTTTAGTGCAATTTCGTATCAAAACAATAAACAACAACAAAGGGAATCAAATTTGAGACACATTGGCTGAGTCTGAACTGTATTCTACGCTATTGAAACACCACCTTAGATTTTTTCAACCATAAGCATCACAGAATAAGCATGCTGTTGCCACAGAATAAAAAACAATCAGAATGCCAACTCTGCTTGTCAAGATAAGTACGCGCATCTCGTTCGCGCAGACGGAATCAGCCATGTTTTAAACGAAACCAGTGCTGTTCAGTGAAATTTTATCTGATTATTTGATTGTTATTTATTCTGTGATAAAGTACTTTATAATATTGAAATTTACACTTTAAGGTGAACTTTAATTTCATATTCACGTCAAACGTACTACGAAAACTTGCATTATTTGAGCTTAGGAGTTGGAAACCGATAAAACTTGAATTTACTATTTTTTGTTGCATTTTTACAATCTAGCACAGCATTTGCAAAATCTCATTTTTTTCAATAACTACTTATGAAATAATAATATGCTCACAAAGTAGCAAGATTTCACCGCTGCACGTGCATGATCGTTTCTCGTATCCCCTCCAAGTACTTGCACACAGCGAAAACATTTTCATAGAATTTTTCAAAATATTCAGTTTTGGAAACAATTTTCGGAGTGGAAATCGAAACTTCAAATAGTAGTTTAGTTAAAAATGCAATTTTCTTTACAATCAATAATTGTGGCGTAATCCCATAGAAACATAAATTATTTAAATTAGACATGCCACAGGAAACTAATTTCAAAACTTTGTTAAAATAATAATATTTAGTATGCGTTATTTTCGTAATATTTACATCACAAAACTACATTTTTGGCGCGGCAACATGGCATTCGAAAGAAACATCTCTGTTCTATCTCTCGCATGAAACTTTCTTTTCTCTAATTACGTGTAGACATAGCACACAGCATAGACACAAATTTGTTCCTTATGCTATGTAGATCGCCAGCTACTTCTCTTTTGTAGTGCTGTATGTATCTAACGACTATTACTGTAACTAAGTTCTGTTACTCAGATTCAATGAAATCACGTTATGGTATAATACTGTGCTTACTATTTGAAACCATAATATAATATAAATAATAATAGAGTAAATGTGGCTATAATAGGGTAAATAAAAAATATTAGAAGAATATTAGTCCTTGTCAAGATGGCGCTGTAAGTGTAGGTTGTGTTAAGTTGGCTCCTATATACAATTGTGAAAAATAGTGATAATTGTTTGTTAATAGTTAAAATTCATCATATTTATTGTTCATTAAGTCACGATGAATGAAAATTTAAGAAAAACCCGTCGACAACAGAAGCCCAATACGTCGGATCCGGAACATCTTGAAAGTCAGGTTAAGCAGCTAGAAACCGACGTGAAAGGTGGCCTTGAGGAGATCAAATCGCTTATTGATCAAAATGCGGAAGCGGGTTCTACATCTAATCCCAACAATAATAATCTCTTGGACAGAATTAAAGTGCTCGAAGAGAATTTTCAAAAATCCCTTAATGATATTAAAAGTGAAATAGAAAAATTAAGACATAAGTGTAATTCCTCCGAGAAAAGGATGGAACACAATTATCAGAATTACTTGCTAAACGGTCTCGTGTTTAATAATATTCCTGAGAGTGAGACAGAACAACTACATCAACAGGTAGTAAAAATCATTAATAATAAGTTAAATATACAAATAACCGAAAACGACATTAATTATTGTTATCGGATTGGTAAAAAACAAGATCCAATTATCGGTCGAACTAAAGTACAGTTAAATTCAAAGAAAAAGGGTACAAGTATTAGAAAGGGAAGTTAACGTCATCCTATTTGTGTAAAACCGGCTGGGATTTTTGGAGGTTATCAAATGTCATAAGTGATCAAAAATGCAACTCATAGACGTCAAAGAGGTTTAATTTGATAGAAGGTTTAACGAATTATGAATGTTCTTGGGAAAAACACTTTTTTAAAAACTGAACTTCACAAATAAAACTTTTATTTTCGACTTACAAAGATTTTAGTAGCAACAACAATAAATTAAATCAGACTGAATTATAAATCAAACTAAACTACAAATCAGACTGAAAATATTGATTTTTACATAGTGTTTTTATAATTTAATAATTGCTGATCTTGCAATCCAATACGTCGCAATTCAGTCCAGAATGATCGAGCGGTAGTCCCGTGTAGAATCCACGTGGTAGAATTTACTGGATGGTAGCGGTCATTGTGCTGTAACTACTCCATCCCCTGAAGAAGTTTTGTGAGGGACGAACAGAACTGTTGGGTTGGCCTCTTCTGAGGGTTCGTCGCTAGAGTTGGGTTCTTTGTTATTTGTTTTATACCTGTAACATATATAGAGGCAGATTATTGTAATAAAGATATATAAAGGAGTCATCCAAAAATGATTATGGCTATGGTTCCATAATTTCGGGTTAATTGTCTCTAGATGTTCCTCTTCTTTAGAGAGTTCGTGCAGTTTGTCTAAGGGATGTGATCTATCCTTAATGGTTTGAATTTAATCGCTGTTTGAATGTCTATAGTTCTAATTTTGGGAAGCATTAGCGGTTCCTCTGGGATGGTTGTCCTTGAATTTATGTAACTCTGGATTGGGGTTTTGAATTCACATCTGGGTGGAAGATTGATTAGATAAGTTCCTTTTAGGCCCAAAATTTTTGTAGTAGAACATCGAGTTGTAATTTTGGTTGATTCGGGGAATATTCCTATATAGTGGGCATCTGATAATCTTTGTATGATGATATCTCGAGTTTGGACGGGGGTGTATTGGCAAGAAGCTTCTCGGGTACTCAACTGCAGGATTTGTTTGATACAATCGTCAGTTTTCGTTGCCTCTAGTATTGTTTCCTCTTGGCAAAGATATCTTG